TGACAGTGTGGCACTCCCTCAGCACTGACCCTCTGACAGTGCAGCACGCCCTCAGTACTGACCCTCCGACAGTGCAGCACTCCCTCAGTACTGACCCTCTGACAGTGCGGCACTCCCTCAGCACTGACCGTCTGACAGTGTGGCACTCACTCAGAACTGCACCATGAGTATTGTCCTAGATATGTTGTGCAAACCTCTGGATCTGGTCATGAACACACAACCTTCTTTCTCAGAGGCAAGAGTTTCCTCATGAGCCTGAAGCTAACACTTATCACTTGCCCCGGTTACAGGTCTCAATGCCATGTTTGTTTTGTGATGTGTGGGGAACACAGGATATGAATCTCTTACATGGTCACTCCCATGGCAAACATCATCTCATACTCATCCCTGGAGGAATAGTTTGGGATCACCTGGAACATAAAAACAGAAACAGTCAGTTTCACAAACTAGGGCTGCAGCACTCCACACAGAGACAGCAAGAACTGCCGATGCTGGAGTCAGAGATAACACAGTGTGGAGCTGGAGGAACACAGCAGGCCAGGCAGCATCAGGGGAGCAGGAAGGCTGATGTTTCGGGTCTGGACCTTTCTGAAGAAGGGTCTAGGCCTGAAACGTCAGCTTTCCTGCTCCTCTGATGCTGCTTGGCCTGCTGTGTTCATCCAGCTCTACGCCTTGTTATCTCAGATTCTCCAGCATCGGCAGTTCCTACTATCTCTGAATCAATTGAATGGAAGAGTTATACAGGGAGCGCAGCGAAGGTGTACTGGACAGATTTCTGGGATGGTGGGACTGACGTATGAAGTGAGATTGAATCGATTAGGATTATGTTCCCTGGGGTTTAGAAGACTGAAGTGTAGAATCTCACAGAAACCTATAAAATTCTAACAGGACTAGACATGGTAAAGCAGGAAGGATGCTCCTAATGGTGAGGGAGTTCAGAATCAATGGTCGCAGTCTAACGATACAGGGAAAGCCATTTAGGACTGAGATAAGGAGAAATGTTGTCACCCAGAGAGTCGGGAACCTGTGGAATTCACTGTCACAGAAAGCGGTTGAGGCTAAAACATTGAATGTTGTCAAGAAGGAGATGGATATAATTCATTGGGCTAAAAGAAGCAGGGAGTGGACGAGCAGAATGATTTTTAAACCCGTTCTTGAGATGTGGTTATCACTGGCTGGGCCCACAAAGGTTACCTATTTCTAGTTGTCCCTTGAAAAGGTAGTGGTGAGTGACCTTGTAGTCAATGTGCTGTAGGTAAACCCACAATGCCCTTAGGGAGGGAATTCCAGGATTTTGACCCAGTGACACTGAAGGAACAGCAATGTGTTCCCAAGTCAGGATGGTGAGTGGCTTGGAGGGGAACTTGCAGGGGGTGGTGTTCCCATGTATCTGCTGCCCTTGTCCTTCTAGATGGAAGTGGTCGTGGGTTTGGAAGGTGCCTGTCACTGATAATGCCGATAATGAAACAGGGAGACTGATAACATAGTCTGAACGAAATGGGGGACGTAAGGTAAGTAACAATAAGGGAAAAACTTCCTTTTCTACAGAGTGGTAATAATAGCAGGATGTGAGCCCCTGGGCAGTGTGAGAGGTTGTTCTCCTTACCATGCCGTTTGTGAGGACCACCCGTGGAGCATTTCGGGGACTTGGGAACAATCCATGTGGGTGCCCACTGTACATGACCAGAGTCTGCTCCTCTGTCATCTGGGATAGGTAGTACATCGCCAGCCTGAACTGTCAACAAGGGCATTCAAAAGAGAGGACAGGCAGTCAGGCAATGATCCCCACAAGAACGCAGCTCACAGAGAACAGTTATTACATACACCAGGCACAGTTTGTCACTTCAGCTTTGTCTCGTGCCATTGCAGCATCCCAGCTGGAACTCAATAGGAGCACACTCAATGGGTCAAATAGCCTAAGTCTGCTGCTGTATGCCCTCTCTTTCTTCATCCCTGAGTCAGCGGGCTGTGGGATAAAGCATCATTCCAAAGACCTGAGCTCATTATCCAGGCTCAGTGCTGAGGGAGTGCTGCACTGTCTGAGAAGCACGCTGGCTCTCCCAGGCAGAGGTAAAAGATCCCATGGCTTTTAGCTTGATGGTAATCGGGGGATGCTCTCCATTTCTCTCTCCAATAATTACTGCAAAAATATTACCACGTAAACAGATGAACGCATTTTGTCTGTTTCAATCATGCGGGAATTGGCTGAGGTGTCAGCGATAGCAGTGATTCCAAGTCAGCATCACCTCATTGGCTGCACGGTGTTTTGGAATGTCCTGATCAATCCTGGTCACCGTAATCTACTGGATTGACCATCCAAGACCAGCCTGGGTCCACTGCTCAGGAATCGGGGCTTGCTCACACAAAAGCTGCTGCCACTAAGCCTCACTCCAGACCCAACGTCCCGCAGCACCTGTTCCAGGAATCCCTCAGAAACCAACTTCAGAACACCAAGGCTTCCAATTCATTCTTCTGAATCAAATCCCCAGGGGCAATCTCCAAAACGAACCTCACTTCAACACCAATGGCACATTCCGAAAAGAGTACAACACTCCCAAAACAGGCTTGGTTACAGAGTAAAGCTCCTTCTACACCATCCCCCATCAAACACTCCTAGGGACAGGGACAGCACGGGGTTAGATACAGAGTAAAGCTCCTTCTGCACCATCCCCCCATCAAACACTCCTAGGGACAGGGACAGCACAGGGTTAGATACAGAGTAAAGCTTCCTCTACACTGTCCCCCATCAAACACTCCCAGGGACAGGAACAGCACGGGGTTAGAATCATAGAATCCCTGCAGCACAGAAAGAGGTCATTCAGCCCATTGAGCCAGCATCAACCATCCAGACAGTGACCCAGAGATAGTAGGAACTGCAGATGCTGGAGAATCTGAGATAACAAGGTGTAGAGCTGGAT